TTACACCAGACCAAAGGTTCCAAACAGTGCATCATAAGTCCTGATGACTTGGTTAGCGAAACACTCCTAGGAGTCAGAACTTTTGTTCTAGTGAGGAAAAGTGGTTTCAATGGCATACATTCCATCAATGATATCGTTTCATCAAGCTCCCTCGATGTTAGACCCTCCCTGATCGTTTCCTTTACGACTCCCACCGTCACGGCATGGGAAACATAAGTTTCCCAGGAAAAACAGCTACATTGTTCTCTACAGCGTACTGTAGCGTACCAAACAGTTAATCGACTCGAAGGAAAAACAAATGCAAGACGTAAGACCGGTCGATGTAACCTGCGGCACCGGTAACATGGCCGGCTGCAACTGTGTGCCTCAGGGATGGGTGGTACCCGTGCTGGTACCCTTCCGAAGTACACGGTAGAGGTGGTGCACGGCGGCATATGTCGGTACTTTTGGGTGGCATGCGTGTAGGAGTTTTTATAGGGTGTGCCACTGAGAATGGTGTGATTGCGGTGATACTGGTTTTTGGACAGTCAGATTCGAAAGTTCCTCATGGGTCGTTTCTGGGGCCCATATTACAGTGAATGGCGCACCTCGCAACTTTTGTGTTTCAAGTTATTGTAGCTTCTGAATAATTATGGGATTTTCACCGTTTTTGGGTATTTGAACCATTTGCAATCTGGAATAAGCATTCAGAACTCTTCAGAGTTGAATTTTTTTTTATTTATTTACAATTGTATCAACCTCTTGGGTCACTAGCGACTTGTGGATATATTACGTATTTATGAAGCCTTAGACAGCACATAACATATTGATATTGCTGAGGAAAGCTAATAGATATCATTTTTCTAAATGGATTTAATCTCTAGCGATTCAAATCCAATGTGCCTCAAGCGTAATCGGTTCCAAAATCTCTTCATATTTGTAGAAAAAAGAATAATTCGGGAATCAAGAATTTAAATTTGCCGCGTGTCTTTTGACCAATAAAATTGATCGTGTCTAGAGCGGAGTTGCCAAGTGTATTGGTTTTTAATATCCAATCACAGATCTAATGATCCAATTTGACAGACGTAATTTCATTAGCTTTCTTTCGAAGACTGCAAAAGACTAGGGCCATCTTTTCAGCCCAGGTAGTATGTTTTATACTTTGTAGACTTCACACACTTATATCGCGTGAATGGTTTGGGAGTTCATCATGGATCATTTCTGGGGCCCATGCGTAACTTTTGAATTAAGTATTGGTATACAAAAATTAATCTCCCCTGAAAAATATACCCCCTTTCAACTCAAACACGATTCCTAGGACGGATTCTTTTCATTGGCGACATAAGGGTGATTTTCCATTTGAATGGTTTTGGTGTTCCTCACGGGTCGTTTCCAGGGCCCATACGAAGGGCAAATGTTTTGCGTAAATTTACGTAACTTTTGAGCTATTGGTACGAATATAATGATAATTCGATGTTTTGAGTAATGATGAGGTTTTTACCTCCATTGAGTGATTGAACTTCTGTAAAGAAGAAGATGGGATGTCACCTCTATTGACAGAAGAATCATGAAATACAAATCAATTAACAGAATTTAACTTATTAAACACCTCAAATAGCTGCTTTGTTTCCTCCTGTTCATAATAGAGGACATATTCCTCCCCACTTTGCCATTTTGGTAAAATTGGGGACACGTGTGAATCGTTCTATTCCCGTCACGTGCCACTACATGGGTGTCTGCAATATGCTGTGTAATGCCCGTTGTGAGTAGTTCCACTGTGATTTGAAAGTACATATAGATTATAACGACAAGGAGTCACAACATTGTCAGCTGTATAATGGCTCATATCTAATCCTCATAAAGAAAAGTCAATGTCATCATGCCTCCGTTGGAGAGAACTTTTCAGATGAATTACCAAAATACAGGGAAACTTATGGATTGACAGGGACTCTATGGACTTCTTTCCTTGCACCTCGAAAGGGTTAGTTTTTCATCTCTATTCAGGGTTCCCTCTCTTGTGAAGAAATCCAAGCATTGTGACAATCTCAATTGACCAGTTCTTTGTGGTATTGGAAGAGCCAAATCCCAGAAAGGATCGGAGGTTACTGATGACCATCATCAGTGCACTTCATAGTGGATTTTAATTGACCAACGAAATTGTCTACAATGTTAGAGTTGTTCGTGTTCAAATATCACAGCCAGGACTCTTGCGCTTTTCCGCTGTCGCTCAATTTTTCGTCAATCTCCGTTAAGATCGATTTAGTGTGTGTGAGAGGAGTAGCATTGAGTTATTCTTTTGCCACAGAGTGTTAAGATCGGTTTTGGTTTCTCATTGAGGTCCTCTTGTAAACCACGTATTATTAACGGGTGATTTTTTACGAGGTATAAGATTTGACTTTCAAAAGAAAACAAAAAATTTCAAAAAATTGATGAAATCTTTATTGGAACGATCAATATGATTTAATGTTTGAAGATGATTTCATGCAAATGTCCGCGGCTCCGCTTTAGATGGCCCATGCGCAAGGTTCAATTTTGGCACTCTCTCTAGCATATCGAGTGGTATTTCACGTATAAATGCTTCAATATTGGCTTTCAGAGCGTCAGTTGTTGCTGGTTTATTCCTGTAGACATGAGCCTTAACATGACTCCACAAGAAATAATCCAAAGGCGTTAAATCACACGATCTAGGCGGCCAATTGACGGGACCCAAAGTGAGATAAATTGTTCATCGAAGGTGGCTCTTAATTGGGCCATTGTTTCGCGTGTCGTGTGGCATGTGGCACCGTCTTGTTAAAACCACATGTCAGGCACGTCCAATTCTTTCATTTTGGGCAACAAAAAGTCGTCAATCATCACAGATTGTCCTCTTTGAAGAAGTACGGCCCGATGATATCACCGACCCATAATCCACACGAAACAGTGACTTTTTCGGGATGCATCGGTAGCTCTTGCAATTTGTTGAAACGTGTCAATAAATATGTTTCCTGTTGAAACAAAGAGATGGCCAAACTTTTCGATAGATCCAAGAGTCTAGGAAGACCTCAAAAAATCTCAATACAATAACGAAGTTATAAGATTCTGTAGATGATTTCGAAGAAAATTAATCGTTTACTATGCCTGCAAAACAGTACTAGACCCATTTTTGAAGAGACAAAAATATGAGCTTATAACCTCCATGGCACTTAGCTAACATTTTCCATTGGACATCGAATGTTTTCAAGTAATCGAGGATCAACAACTATCTGGGAACAGACGAAAAGGAAGAAATGAGCTCTTCAACAGATCCATAGATAGCTTTGGTACGACCATAAAATATCAGTAAAGCCACTTTCCTGGCTGGTGAATGAATACACAAAAGAACGTCATAAAAGACAGATTTCCCAAGCCACATATTAGGATCGCTTACCTACTTGAAGAAGGTATTCGCAAAATACCGCTGATCGGTACTGATTAGAGAAAAAGTATCATAGTCTGTTGCCTTTGGTGGGGTTCATTCTTCATAACAAAATGCAGGTCCTGATAGAAGAAAAGGATCCAGACTGACCTAAAACCAACAATTAGAGAGAACAAGAAAGGAAGCAGAGGATGTA